AAAAATTTTGTAAGGAATTGATTGAAGATATAATGTATTCTAATCCAGAAAGGGTAATTAACTTTTACTTCGTCAACTTACCTGTAGAAAACATAATATGACATTTTAAACTTTTACATAGATTTTAAGGTTTAATTTCCTTTAAAATATTTTACACTCTTGCAATAGCAATAATGACTAATTGAATGGTTAAGGTGTTAGTCTTCTGTTCTATCCAGAACGGTAGACTAACGGTAGAACGGAATAGAATCCAGATGAGCCGAAAAATCCCAGGAATTTTTCGAAGTGGACCGTTCCGAATACGTGGGGACCCATCCCTCACCACTATGAAGCCCCATTGTACCCATAATGGGCTTGCTAAAAAGACCCTTTTATTGTCCATAGGAAAGCGTTTAAATAAATAAATAAATTTATTTAAACGCTTTTTTTACTCTCTTGATTAATGCTTCCGTCTTGTGGGCACTTCTTAATTAAGCCCATAAATAAATAAATAAATTTATTTATTTTTTATTTATTTATTTAAACGCTAATATATATATAAGGCGGAAAGCGTTAAAAAAAGATATTAGATCCCGCAAATAATCCCAGCCCAATCAGTTTTAGAAACGTCTACTTTAAATCTTTTTATAACACAATTAAATTTTGATTCGCTAATTATATGTTTTAATCTATAAAAACTCATAACGGTTATTTTTAATTCATATTATTATTATTTTTTTGTTGTTATGTTATCTGAAAAGGTAAAGATATAGAATATTGTTTTTTAGTTTCTTGAAGATAGGAAAATCTTACAAATTTCTTCAATGAGATCTGTAAATTTTATGTTCTAGAAACTCGTGGTTGCTCTCAATAAGTTCTCTAAAGTTCATTTATATGAAAATAAAAAACAATTTAGATCATAAATGACGATTTTTACATTTTCCTTTTCTTTAAAAAAATTCAAATATAAATATTTAAAGTGAAAATATTGTGTTTTAAATGCCTTTTAAATAATTTATTAAAAAACTTTTATAGCAGACCTTATCAATCTTTGATTGTTAAGATTGGAATTATTTTTACTCTTTCTTGATTAATGCTTCCGCCTTGTGGGCACTTCTTAATCAAGCCCATAGTGGATTCTGCAAGGCTCGCAATGGGATTGGCCGGGTGGTGAGAGACGGAGTTCGACATTTCCAGAACGGATCACGCCCGAAAAATTCCTGGGGATCGTCCAAATTCCCTGGTCCCCAGAGCGGTAGATGGACGTCATAACCCAGTGTTTTCAAATCTTTTTCTAATAGTGGCACTGTAATTCCATAATTTTTCCTTGCACACCCTCATTTTTTTGTCACTTAGACTTATTAGCCTTAATTATTTTTAGTAATACACACAAGAAACTTTAAGACGTTGTTCAGTACTATACAGTATTTTGCGGCACTCCTGGAGTGTTGTGGCACCCCAGTTGAAAACCACTGGCTTAACTATTTAGGCCATCCGGACATGGATGGATGAGATAAGGCGACGCACACGTGGGCCATCTTACTCCCGGGAGTACTTACTAAGGAAAATTAGCTCTATTTAGATGTTTTTATGTTAGACACGTAAGAAAATTCGGCAAACTCCATGTAGCCAGCCGTTGGTCAGGCACGAATCTGCCATCAGTGTTCATGGCTTTATCCACTCGGCCACTGGAGTATTATGAATAATGTTTTCATAATTTTTTTATAACTGTTCTAAAATACCTCTACAATAATTAAAATAATTATAAATGTTTCTTTCATTCGACTGAAATAATTAAATCCTAAATATGCGGCCGGATGGCCGAGCGGTCAAGGTGGCAGCCTACCGCTTCGACTGAAATAATTAAATCCTAAATATGCGGCCGGATGGCCGAGCGGTCAAGGTGGCAGCCTACCGCTCTGGGGGACTCAGGTTCTAATCCGAACGGGTCGAAAAATCCCCAGGAATTTTTCGGGGGTGGTCCGTTCAGATATGTCGGGCCCCGACCCTCACCACCCGGCGGCCCCATTGTGAGCCTGGCCTGCAAAAAGAGGCCCTCTTAGTGCCCACAGGGCGGAAAGAGTCCCAAAAAAACCTAAATATCAAAACCGTTATCGTAAAAACAATCTATGTTTTTGATTTGACCTCAGGCGATTTAGAATAGTATCTCAGAAAAAATTTTAGTTCAATTCCCTTTTCATTTAAATATAACAAATTTATCGATTACAAGCCATTGCCTTAACATAAATTATAAACACGTTAATGTAGGCCAATATGCGAGGAAGTCTTGAAGCTCATACGTGCCTACGGGATAAATTATATATTTATATATCAGTGAGAAGTTGTTTGGTTTACAGCAATAAACGATAAAAAATTTTTTTGCTTTAGGTCATTTCTGGAAATTTCAAGGTCATCATTGTTTGTAATGAAATTGTCATTTTCTTTCTTTTATTATTTTTATAAACGCTCTATAAGATAAAAAAAATGAATTGAACGACCTGTAGTAACACTGATTATCCTATTTCAAGATGATAATACGAGTACATAGACCAATCTTTATTATTCGATTCGTGTTTCATAAAAACTGTTTTGCGTTTTAAAGTGCGTTGTTTGTTGTTTATGTAAGTAATGAATGATAAGAAGTCAAGATCGTCGAAGTTTATTTCATGATTTTATGGTTTATATTATACAAATGGCATCGAAACATTAAATAGTCTAGTGTTTTTTTTTTTTTTGAAAAAATATTTCGGAATTTCTGCAATAACTAAGGATACTACTAAATATATAGTAAATTTGAATATAATGTTAGCAATATTACTTTTGTGATAAAATTGACTTTAAAATTTTCTTCTATATTTAAAGGTAGGTTGTTTTATTTGCTAGTTTTTAACTACTTTCTTCAAGTTCTCGTTAACTTTCAGACTGAATCACTTTAAATATTTATTAGTGATATGATGTATGGCTTATTCATAAATATTTTTAAAATTATGATAATGTGATTATTAATTAATGATACATAAACTGTTATAAATGATACAGATACTGTAGGCCTAATCCATAGCCGTAGAGAAAGGGGGATGGAATTTTTTTCGGTCTTTTAGTGGTTTATATCCCTATAAATTAATGTTATTTTTACTAATAAAAAAACAAAATATTTAACCCTAAACAACCAAGTAGTGTCTGTCAGACACATTTTATAATTGATTTGCATACAAAATCAAAACTATTTATTTTATTACGAAATAACTTTACGTATTCTATTCCCTATGATTGTTCTTCCAATTTAGCTTACTAAAGTGTTTTGGAAGAATATTGTTTTTTAATATTTTAACAATTTTTCAGAAAACGACATAACAACCCACATGTGTCTGCTAGACATTATAGAAGTTTATACAAGTTTACAGGTTTTAAACAGTTAAAACTAATGTTCGATGATTCGTAAATAACGTCTTGTGGTCTTTGTTCTTTTCATCAGCAGATGTGCAGATGATGTTATTGTATTATAGTTCTTTTTCATTGTGTTTCGGGAGTTGTGTTATTATACATATATTACTTATTCTTTAGTAGTAATAAAATGATGACAAAATAAACAGTGTAAATGTAATTTTTATAGTAAAATAACAGTCTTGTTGTTAGCTTTTGAAAAATGGATAACAATAAGATTTTGACTGATGAAAATTTCCGATGTGCTGTAGATTATAGTAGCCTAATGGTGAGAACTGTGTATTTAGAGAAAGTTATAGTGAAGACAAGGATTTCATTGAAGATTATGTTTCTGATAATTAAAGTAATTTGACGGAAACAGTATCCGAGGCCGATGATGCGAAGTTATGTAGCGATGAAGAAAATACAGTTGAAGAGGAAGAACTAAATAATTATAATAATTTGATTGTTGAATATGTTGGTAAAGATGAAACTATTTGGTAATCAAAACCGCAAAAAACAGGAAGAACTATAATATAAAACGGAAGCATAATATAATCGGTGGCCGTGTTCATAAGGTTGTTCTATCGTTAGGAAAAATAATCTATGATCATATTGACAATTTCAAATTATTTTAGATGAAATAACTGGAACTGTAAAGCACACCAATTCTGAAGCTACCAGAGTATTGCAAAATACATGGAAACCAATAGATACAATTGAGTTACAAGCATTTATAGATCTATTATTGACTATTGGTGTCAATAAACACAGCAAAATGGATTTTAAAAAGTACTGGGATCCTATATTTGGCAATCCAATATTTTGTGATAATGGGAAAACATAGATTTGAGGCTATCCAACATTTCTTAAGATTTGATAATAAAGTTATCAGGTCACTCAAAAAATCAAAGGAAAAATTAGCACCTATCAATCACAAATTACAAAATTTAATTACCAGAAGAAAATCTTATGATGGACAAGTAACTGATTCCTTTTCGAGAGCAGGTATCATTCAATCAGTATTTATCAAGTAAACCTTGACAAAAAAACTAAAAACAGAATTGTGTTGTATGCAATCTGAACATATGTTCAGAACATTCAACTAAGGAAACAATTTGTGTAAACTGTACTTATAAGTAATTAATAATAATTATGACATGTAAACTATAGTAACAGTAAATTTTATTTCGTGATTTTATTCATTTTAATATAATATTGACAATTTTAAATGTTGCGTCTATTAGACACTACTGGTCAGATAATTAAGACACAAAACCTTACTGGGTTGTTAAGAATGCATTTTTAAAATAAAGAAACATGCTAAATATTAATTTGTTAAAAAAAAAAATAGTAAAGGGGCTCGCTAAGTGATCGGTTCTAACCTCATGCCACATACAAGCTCTCGATGGCCCTGTCTATATCCAAAATATATTTACATTATAACTGCACTCAGTTAATACTAAAAATTTTATCATCATTTTTTAGAAATATTTCTTAACAATTTGACTTAATTTAATAAAACTAAATTTTGACTTTTCATTGAAATAAACTAATTTTCTTAATTAATTTTAATATGTGAAAGTAATCATTTTTACCTTTAGTAGAGTGATAAAATTGATTTTATCGGTGATTGGTCCACCTTCCCATGCTGGAAATTCCCAGTCAAAATCCAAACCGTCGAATGGATATTTTTCAATAAAATATATGACAGAATGAATGAACCTAAAGATTATATATAATTATTATTTTCGATTAGAATGAAAATGATAAATTAATTTAAATGGATATTCAAATTTAATGATAATATTTATGTTGCAATCAATGATAACATAATATTTATACAGAATGTAGGAATATATATTGCTTATAGTAAAATATTTGACGAGTTTTCCTTGTCCTTGAAAATAATAAGCAGGTTATTACGATAATACATTTTTATTTATATAATAAAAAATCTTAAAAAGTTTAGACACAATAGAGTTAATCACTTACTATTATAAAATTATTCAGTTTACTTTTTATTTAGGAAAGTAAATTAATTAAATCAAAGTTAATATGAGATATTAAAATTTTATTTTGTAAATCTGGTTAACTTCACCATAACAGAAATTTTCAAAAACAAAACAGTAAATAATAAATAAATTATACTACTTACTATTATAATATTATACTATATTATATTACATATTATTATATTTGTACAATAAATTATACCTTTCTCTACCAGTTTGATAATTAATCATCTTGGAAAATCTTCCTCCACTAGTAGCACCGATAGATAAAAGTACTTTTAAATCCTGGTTACGATTTTTTAGATCCAAACAACGTTTGTAGCCATCGATGTGATCTGCAGATCTAGGTACTATAAGGTCATAACGAGTGTCAGCAAATCCTGCAATCAAATGGGTACACAAGTTTGGATCGATGTCTTCGGGTTGAAGGCGATAGCTATAATTTCCTTCTAGTTTGTAATAACACACCAGTTTTTGAGAGGTGGCTTTTTCCGCTAAAAGAAGCGTACAACGATTAAAACATAATTACTAATAACTAAGTAATAAATATTATACAAAATAACATATACTGTATTTTGTAAAATGTTTCGTATTAAAATACAGTACTTAAATCATTTCAGAAATGGCAGTGACAAACATAGCGTATGGGTACACTGTGCTTAAGGGGATTGAGCAAGTACCGATTTTTTTTATTTTTCCATCACTGATAATTTTTAAATACTTTTGCTTTCTCTGATTTTTTTTTATGTTTTTGCTTTGCCCGAATTTGGGAGGGCAGTTGCCCCTTTCTTCCCTCGACTCGTTAGCCCATAATTAGAAATATAACAAAAAACTGAGGCCTATATTGTTATAATGACTGGAATGTATTGATAGTTTTCTAAAAATAACCCTTGCACTACTGATTTTAAAAAATGTCTTCATAACAAGCATCAAATTTTCCGGTTTAACTAAAACGTTATCCTACTACAAATTCTTTGTTTTTAATTTATTCTTATTACTTGCTTATTGAATTCCTTTACTAAGCAAACAATCAAAGTTCATTTTAACCGATTGAATATGCTTGGTTGCTCTGAAACTCTGAAATCCTAATTTAACTTTCATATTATTGAAAGTTAAATTAAGATTTCAGATTTTTCGAGCAGTCAAAACTCTGGAACCGTTTACCAATTAAATGCGATGGGAATTTTTTTCTTTTAAATTTCCCGCTGTTAAGAGTTTCATTGTTCGTTAACGATAAGAAAGAGGAAGTTCTAAATATTATTCATTTGGATCGGTATAATAACAACTGTTATAATATAAAGAAAAACACACTTCATAAAAAAATCAGCCAGGGCTTATAATGCAACTCTTTATTTGCGTTATCAGTTTGCGTTTTTGTTGATTTTTATCGTTTCATTTGAGAGTTAAAATTAGGTTCGGTTTTAAATCGACTAATATTTTCTTGGGTACATGACCTATAATAATCACGCTTCTTCAATTATAATTTGTATTTTTGTTTTCAAAATTTATGTCATGGTCATTTATTGGCTTATTCACCCTATTTTTAGTTAGATAATATAAATGTAATTAAATTAATTGTATTTCATCTTCATTTACTATCAAATCATATTCAGTTACTTGATAAAACACCTGAAATTATTAAGAATATGAAATCTCTCTAGCTAAAGAATGAAAGCTTATCAAGTTATAAAAAATTAAAGTTAGCTAATAAGTTTATAAATATAAAATGACAATTATTGCAATTATGTTTAATTTTATTCAGGTTTTTCTTTTATCCTTTATGGGTTTGAGAAAATAATGACAAATTTTTAGTGAAAATAATGTTTAAAATAAATAGAAATTATTATCATATTTTAAAATTAATTATTTGAAATTTATGTTGATGTAGGCTTATATTATCCCATATATAGGGCGTTTATTATTTCCTCATATAAGAATAAATGTACTATATGTTAAGAGGAAAATAATAATTTAGGATTATTTTTAACAGATAACAAATGCATGTTAAAAGTAAACTGCATGATTGTTCTTTCACTAATATATTTCAGTATAGGCTTAATTAATTATATTATATAGGCCTAAAAAAGAGAAAAAAAGCTATATTTTATCGTATTTAATTTTATTTTAAACATAAATAACTCTTTCAATAGGAATTATATGTATAAGTTATAATTCTTATTTAAACCGATTTTATTCGTTAATGGAAAAGTATTTTCTTTATGCTATCAATTATAATTGTGTATTATGTGTCACCGAATTTTATTTAATCACTGATTTTATTTGGAAAATCATACATAATTAGCCTAATCTTCTACAAAATAAAGCTTAATAATTCTCAAGAATTTTGAATGCAGATCTAAATGATAGATTTAAATAATTAGTTTCTAACAGTTATAATACTGTACAATTCAAGCTCTTAGATTTATTTTAAATCTAGGAAAAGTTTTTTAGATCTTCTTCCTAGTTAAGGGGTGTTCTGAATAAAACTGAAATGACTTTTTACATCTCTGCTATGAAATGACAGGTGTGACTGGTTAGTTTTTGTATTATATTATACGGAATGTTTTCAGTTCATCGATTTTTTAAAGAGACTTTAATAGACATTTAAGTATACAATAATAGAATCTTAAAAAATAAATCTAATACTTTATACATACATTCTCTTTTCATCATTTCTTCTTTTTCTAACGATTGGTATTCTTTCTTTTGCCTTTCGTGTCTATAAAAGCCTCCTACTAATAGTAGAAGTGCCATTGTCGCAGTAGCATAATTTGGCATCATCTTTAAAAAAATTTAATAAATAAGAGAATTTTTAAAGAAGTTAATATTATTACTAACTTAAAAGAGTATAAAAAGGCTCGTTAAATTAATAATCAGTTAAAATTTTGTGATTAAATGTAATTACTTACGTTTACCGCCTTTTCCGAACCAGATAGATTAAGTAACAATAATCATCTGCTCCAATGTTCACTTATATTTGAAGGAAGTTTGATATTGAATAATATCGAATCCACCAATAATAATTCGAGATTCCTGTGACGTTTTATCTGGTTCCATCGATGACCCAGTCTTGGGTGGAGATCCTGTACATCAACTATGTCGTTACCTATGAAATAACTAGTCTGTGATGCCCAAGGCAATCCAAGAAGCACTTGTAATTCACAGGAGCAATAACGCAAAGTTATGAAAGTCCGGTTGGAAAAGATGGATCGTCGGATTTCTTGAAGAAAAATGAGGAAGATCCTCTCACAAATATAATTATGTGTTCTATCTTTTTCTAAATTTATATTAATTTTACTTAAATATTATTTTAAGATAATGTGTGTGATATGAATACATAGTCTAATCTGTATCAAGTAGGCCTAGATATGTAGCAATGTAAAATAATTCAAACTTAAATTTANGTTTTTTTATTAATATGATTAAAGAAGTTCTAAAACTTATTTTGAGTTTGAAAATAAACGTTTCCGTTTGTTATTTTATATCTTTTATGTTTTGTTTAAATCGCTACTTTGGAAGAAAACCGGCACAACTCAAAAACACTAGTTTTGAGAAAATCCCATGCAAAGATTTAACCAAAGTTTAACTGAATATCACATCACTTATCTCCCACATAACTATTCCCTAGTGGCCGAATACGCAAGTTACTTTTGCGACACTCTTCCACATAAAAATTTACTACATTTTCGTTTTGATTATGACATAATCGAAAAATCTCACTTTTTTGAGTTATGCCGGTTTTCTTCCAAAGTAGCGAAATGTCAGGGCTATCCGCACTTCCTCTACAGGTAATTCAAAAGTAGAGGATAAAACTTGTAGGGTAATCAATTATTCAATGTCCAATAGAAAATGTTAATGAATTTCTGTGCGATTCTAAAGATAACGGAGTTACAGAGAAAAATCTTTATTTCAAATCATTCACAGTTTTAAGTCCAGCTAGCACTAAAAACGACAAAACAAATAAATTGGCTACTGCCACGTTATTTGCAAGTGTTAGTTTCGTTTGCAACGAAGCTGCTGCAGAAATACGTCAAAGACCCGAACTTCATAATTTACTTGCTTCTATTAATATTATCCGTAGATGTGAAGCTTGTATAGCTAGTAAAGACAGTCATTTTGAGCATCTCTAGTAAATTTATATTTCTTTAAGTGTTACCTAAATGTATCCTGTTTGTAAACTACTAAATAGCGATAATAAATAGTTTGTACTAATTAATGTTGAAATAGTAAATTGATTTGAAATAAAGATTTTTCTCTGTAAATCGGCTATCTTTGAGAATCGGACAGGAATGTATTAATATTTTTTACTGTAAATTGAATAATTGATCACACCATAAAATTTTATCAACTACTTTTGAGTCACCCTGTGTTGATAAAAATCATACAATATAAATGCAAATTATACATAATTTTAACAGCGTTTATACAATAACTAAAGCCATTTTTAAAAGAAGGAAACGATTCTTGTGACAAATCTTAATAATTCAAATAATAGAGTAGAAAAAAATTTTGTAAGGAATTGATTGAAGATATAATGTATTCTAATCCAGAAAGGGTAATTAACTTTTACTTCGTCAACTTACCTGTAGAAAACATAATATGACATTTTAAACTTTTACATAGATTTTAAGGTTTAATTTCCTTTAAAATATTTTACACTCTTGCAATAGCAATAATGACTAATTGAATGGTTAAGGTGTTAGTCTTCTGTTCTATCCAGAACGGTAGACTAACGGTAGAACGGAATAGAATCCAGATGAGCCGAAAAATCCCAGGAATTTTTCGAAGTGGACCGTTCCGAATACGTGGGGACCCATCCCTCACCACTATGAAGCCCCATTGTACCCATAATGGGCTTGCTAAAAAGACCCTTTTATTGTCCATAGGAAAGCGTTTAAATAAATAAATAAATTTATTTAAACGCTTTTTTTACTCTCTTGATTAATGCTTCCGTCTTGTGGGCACTTCTTAATTAAGCCCATAAATAAATAAATAAATTTATTTATTTTTTATTTATTTATTTAAACGCTAATATATATATAAGGCGGAAAGCGTTAAAAAAAGATATTAGATCCCGCAAATAATCCCAGCCCAATCAGTTTTAGAAACGTCTACTTTAAATCTTTTTATAACACAATTAAATTTTGATTCGCTAATTATATGTTTTAATCTATAAAAACTCATAACGGTTATTTTTAATTCATATTATTATTATTTTTTTGTTGTTATGTTATCTGAAAAGGTAAAGATATAGAATATTGTTTTTTAGTTTCTTGAAGATAGGAAAATCTTACAAATTTCTTCAATGAGATCTGTAAATTTTATGTTCTAGAAACTCGTGGTTGCTCTCAATAAGTTCTCTAAAGTTCATTTATATGAAAATAAAAAACAATTTAGATCATAAATGACGATTTTTACATTTTCCTTTTCTTTAAAAAAATTCAAATATAAATATTTAAAGTGAAAATATTGTGTTTTAAATGCCTTTTAAATAATTTATTAAAAAACTTTTATAGCAGACCTTATCAATCTTTGATTGTTAAGATTGGAATTATTTTTACTCTTTCTTGATTAATGCTTCCGCCTTGTGGGCACTTCTTAATCAAGCCCATAGTGGATTCTGCAAGGCTCGCAATGGGATTGGCCGGGTGGTGAGAGACGGAGTTCGACATTTCCAGAACGGATCACGCCCGAAAAATTCCTGGGGATCGTCCAAATTCCCTGGTCCCCAGAGCGGTAGATGGACGTCATAACCCAGTGTTTTCAAATCTTTTTCTAATAGTGGCACTGTAATTCCATAATTTTTCCTTGCACACCCTCATTTTTTTGTCACTTAGACTTATTAGCCTTAATTATTTTTAGTAATACACACAAGAAACTTTAAGACGTTGTTCAGTACTATACAGTATTTTGCGGCACTCCTGGAGTGTTGTGGCACCCCAGTTGAAAACCACTGGCTTAACTATTTAGGCCATCCGGACATGGATGGATGAGATAAGGCGACGCACACGTGGGCCATCTTACTCCCGGGAGTACTTACTAAGGAAAATTAGCTCTATTTAGATGTTTTTATGTTAGACACGTAAGAAAATTCGGCAAACTCCATGTAGCCAGCCGTTGGTCAGGCACGAATCTGCCATCAGTGTTCATGGCTTTATCCACTCGGCCACTGGAGTATTATGAATAATGTTTTCATAATTTTTTTATAACTGTTCTAAAATACCTCTACAATAATTAAAATAATTATAAATGTTTCTTTCATTCGACTGAAATAATTAAATCCTAAATATGCGGCCGGATGGCCGAGCGGTCAAGGTGGCAGCCTACCGCTTCGACTGAAATAATTAAATCCTAAATATGCGGCCGGATGGCCGAGCGGTCAAGGTGGCAGCCTACCGCTCTGGGGGACTCAGGTTCTAATCCGAACGGGTCGAAAAATCCCCAGGAATTTTTCGGGGGTGGTCCGTTCAGATATGTCGGGCCCCGACCCTCACCACCCGGCGGCCCCATTGTGAGCCTGGCCTGCAAAAAGAGGCCCTCTTAGTGCCCACAGGGCGGAAAGAGTCCCAAAAAAACCTAAATATCAAAACCGTTATCGTAAAAACAATCTATGTTTTTGATTTGACCTCAGGCGATTTAGAATAGTATCTCAGAAAAAATTTTAGTTCAATTCCCTTTTCATTTAAATATAACAAATTTATCGATTACAAGCCATTGCCTTAACATAAATTATAAACACGTTAATGTAGGCCAATATGCGAGGAAGTCTTGAAGCTCATACGTGCCTACGGGATAAATTATATATTTATATATCAGTGAGAAGTTGTTTGGTTTACAGCAATAAACGATAAAAAATTTTTTTGCTTTAGGTCATTTCTGGAAATTTCAAGGTCATCATTGTTTGTAATGAAATTGTCATTTTCTTTCTTTTATTATTTTTATAAACGCTCTATAAGATAAAAAAAATGAATTGAACGACCTGTAGTAACACTGATTATCCTATTTCAAGATGATAATACGAGTACATAGACCAATCTTTATTATTCGATTCGTGTTTCATAAAAACTGTTTTGCGTTTTAAAGTGCGTTGTTTGTTGTTTATGTAAGTAATGAATGATAAGAAGTCAAGATCGTCGAAGTTTATTTCATGATTTTATGGTTTATATTATACAAATGGCATCGAAACATTAAATAGTCTATTTTTTTTTTTTTTTTTGAAAAAATATTTCGGAATTTCTGCAATAACTAAGGATACTACTAAATATATAGTAAATTTGAATATAATGTTAGCAATATTACTTTTGTGATAAAATTGACTTTAAAATTTTCTTCTATATTTAAAGGTAGGTTGTTTTATTTGCTAGTTTTTAACTACTTTCTTCAAGTTCTCGTTAACTTTCAGACTGAATCACTTTAAATATTTATTAGTGATATGATGTATGGCTTATTCATAAATATTTTTAAAATTATGATAATGTGATTATTAATTAATGATACATAAACTGTTATAAATGATACAGATACTGTAGGCCTATATCCAGAGCCGTAGAGAAAGGGGGATGGAATTTTTTTCGGTCCCTTAGTGGTTTATATCCCTATAAATTAATGTTATTTTTACTAATAAAAAAACAAAATATTTAACCCTAAACAACCAAGTAGTGTCTGTCAGACACATTTTATAATTGATTTGCATACAAAATCAAAACTATTTATTTTATTACGAAATAACTTTACGTATTCCATTCCCTATGATTGTTCTTCCAATTTACCTTACTAAAGTGTTTTTGGAAGAACATTATTTTTTTAATATTTTAACAATTTTTCAGAAAACGACATAACAACCCACATGTGTCTGCTAGACATTATAGAAGTTTATACAAGTTTACAGGTTTTAAACAGTTAAAACTAATGTTCGATGATTCGTAAATAACGTCTTGTGGTCTTTGTTCTTTTCATCAGCAGATGTGCAGATGATGTTATTGTATTATAGTTCTTTTTCATTGTGTTTCGGAAGTTGTGTTATTATACATATATTACTTATTCTTTAGTAGTAATAAAATGATGACAAAATAAACAGTGTAAATGTAATTTTTATAGTAAAATAACAGTCTTGTTGTTAGCTTTTGAAAAATGGATAACAATAAGATTTTGACTGATGAAAATTTCCGATGTGCTGTAGATTATAGTAGCCTAATGGTGAGAACTGTGTATTTAGAGAAAGTTATAGTGAAGACAAGGATTTCATTGAAGATTATGTTTCTGATAATTAAAGTAATTTGACGGAAACAGTATCCGAGGCCGATGATGCGAAGTTATGTAGCGATGAAGAAAATACAGTTGAAGAGGAAGAACTAAATAATTATAATAATTTGATTGTTGAATATGTTGGTAAAGATGAAACTATTTGGTAATCAAAACCGCAAAAAACAGGAAGAACTATAATATAAAACGGAAGCATAATATAATCGGTGGCCGTGTTCATAAGGTTGTTCTATCGTTAGGAAAAATAATCTATGATCATATTGACAATTTCAAATTATTTTAGATGAAATAACTGGAACTGTAAAGCACACCAATTCTGAAGCTACCAGAGTATTGCAAAATACATGGAAACCAATAGATACAATTGAGTTACAAGCATTTATAGATCTATTATTGACTATTGGTGTCAATAAACACAGCAAAATGGATTTTAAAAAGTACTGGGATCCTATATTTGGCAATCCAATATTTTGTGATAATGGGAAAACATAGATTTGAGGCTATCCAACATTTCTTAAGATTTGATAATAAAGTTATCAGGTCACTCAAAAAATCAAAGGAAAAATTAGCACCTATCAATCACAAATTACAAAATTTAATTACCAGAAGAAAATCTTATGATGGACAAGTAACTGATTCCTTTTCGAGAGCAGGTATCATTCAATCAGTATTTATCAAGTAAACCTTGACAAAAAAACTAAAAACAGAATTGTGTTGTATGCAATCTGAACATATGTTCAGAACATTCAACTAAGGAAACAATTTGTGTAAACTGTACTTATAAGTAATTAATAATAATTATGACATGTAAACTATAGTAACAGTAAATTTTATTTCGTGATTTTATTCATTTTAATATAATATTGACAATTTTAAATGTTGCGTCTATTAGACACTACTGGTCAGATAATTAAGACACAAAACCTTACTGGGTTGTTAAGAATGCATTTTTAAAATAAAGAAACATGCTAAATATTAATTTGTTAAAAAAAAAAATAGTAAAGGGGCTCGCTAAGTGATCGGTTCTAACCTCATGCCACATACAAGCTCTCGATGGCCCTGTCTATATCCAAAATATATTTACATTATAACTGCACTCAGTTAATACTAAAAATTTTATCATCATTTTTTAGAAATATTTCTTAACAATTTGACTTAATTTAATAAAACTAAATTTTGACTTTTCATTGAAATAAACTAATTTTCTTAATTAATTTTAATATGTGAAAGTAATCATTTTTACCTTTAGTAGAGTGATAAAATTGATTTTATCGGTGATTGGTCCACCTTCCCATGCTGGAAATTCCCAGTCAAAATCCAAACCGTCGAATGGATATTTTTCAATAAAATATATGACAGAATGAATGAACCTAAAGATTATATATAATTATTATTTTCGATTAGAATGAAAATGATAAATTAATTTAAATGGATATTCAAATTTAATGATAATATTTATGTTGCAATCAATGATAACATAATATTTATACAGAATGTAGGAATATATATTGCTTATAGTAAAATATTTGACGAGTTTTCCTTGTCCTTGAAAATAATAAGCAGGTTATTACGATAATACATTTTTATTTATATAATAAAAAATCTTAAAAAGTTTAGACACAATAGAGTTAATCACTTACTATTATAAAATTATTCAGTTTACTTTTTATTTAGGAAAGTAAATTAATTAAATCAAAGTTAATATGAGATATTAAAATTTTATTTTGTAAATCTGGTTAACTTCACCATAACAGAAATTTTCAAAAACAAAACAGTAAATAATAAATAAATTATACTACTTACTATTATAATATTATACTATATTATATTACATATTATTATATTTGTACAATAAATTATACCTTTCTCTACCAGTTTGATAATTAATCATCTTGGAAAATCTTCCTCCACTAGTAGCACCGATAGATAAAAGTACTTTTAAATCCTGGTTACGATTTTTTAGATCCAAACAACGTTTGTAGCCATCGATGTGATCTGCAGATCTAGGTACTATAAGGTCATAACGAGTGTCAGCAAATCCTGCAATCAAATGGGTACACAAGTTTGGATCGATGTCTTCGGGTTGAAGGCGATAGCTATAATTTCCTTCTAGTTTGTAATAACACACCAGTTTTTGAGAGGTGGCTTTTTCCGCTAAAAGAAGCGTACAACGATTAAAACATAATTACTAATAACTAAGTAATAAATATTATACAAAATAACATATACTGTATTTTGTAAAATGTTTCGTATTAAAATACAGTACTTAAATCATTTCAGAAATGGCAGTGACAAACATAGCGTATGGGTACACTGTGCTTAAGGGGATTGAGCAAGTACCGATTTTTTTTATTTTTCCATCACTGATAATTTTTAAATACTTTTGCTTTCTCTGATTTTTTTTTATGTTTTTGCTTTGCCCGAATTTGGGAGGGCAGTTGCCCCTTTCTTCCCTCGACTCGTTAGCCCATAATTAGAAATATAACAAAAAACTGAGGCCTATATTGTTATAATGACTGGAATGTATTGATAGTTTTCTAAAAATAACCCTTGCACTACTGATTTTAAAAAATGTCTTCATAACAAGCATCAAATTTTCCGGTTTAACTAAAACGTTATCCTACTACAAATTCTTTGTTTTTAATTTATTCTTATTACTTGCTTATTGAATTCCTTTACTAAGCAAACAATCAAAGTTCATTTTAACCGATTGAATATGCTTGGTTGCTCTGAAACTCTGAAATCCTAATTTAACTTTCATATTATTGAAAGTTAAATTAAGATTTCAGATTTTTCGAGCAGTCAAAACTCTGGAACCGTTTACCAATTAAATGCGATGGGAATTTTTTTCTTTTAAATTTCCCGCTGTTAAGAGTTTCATTGTTCGTTAACGATAAGAAAGAGGAAGTTCTAAATATTATTCATTTGGATCGGTATAATAACAACTGTTATAATATAAAGAAAAACACACTTCATAAAAAAATCAGCCAGGGCTTATAATGCAACTCTTTATTTGCGTTATCAGTTTGCGTTTTTGTTGATTTTTATCGTTTCATTTGAGAGTTAAAATTAGGTTCGGTTTTAAATCGACTAATATTTTCTTGGGTACATGACCTATAATAATCACGCTTCTTCAATTATAATTTGTATTTTTGTTTTCAAAATTTATGTCATGGTCATTTATTGGCTTATTCACCCTATTTTTAGTTAGATAATATAAATGTAATTAAATTAATTGTATTTCATCTTCATTTACTATCAAATCATATTCAGTTACTTGATAAAACACCTGAAATTATTAAGAATATGAAATCTCTCTAGCTAAAGAATGAAAGCTTATCAAGTTATAAAAAATTAAAGTTAGCTAATAAGTTTATAAATATAAAATGACAATTATTGCAATTATGTTTAATTTTATTCAGGTTTTTCTTTTATCCTTTATGGGTTTGAGAAAATAATGACAAATTTTTAGTGAAAATAATGTTTAAAATAAATAGAAATTATTATCATATTTTAAAATTAATTATTTGAAATTTATGTTGATGTAGGCTTATATTATCCCATATATAGGGCGTTTATTATTTCCTCATATAAGAATAAATGTACTATATGTTAAGAGGAAAATAATAATTTAGGATTATTTTTAACAGATAACAAATGCATGTTAAAAGTAAACTGCATGATTGTTCTTTCACTAATATATTTCAGTATAGGCTTAATTAATTATATTATATAGGCCTAAAAAAGAGAAAAAAAAGCTATATTTTATCGTATTTAATTTTATTTTAAACATAAATAACTCTTTCAATAGGAATTATATGTATAAGTTATAATTCTTATTTAAACCGATTTTATTCGTTAATGGAAAAGTATTTTCTTTATGCTATCAATTATAATTGTGTATTATGTGTCACCGAATTTTATTTAATCACTGATTTTATTTGGAAAATCATACATAATTAGCCTAATCTTCTACAAAATAAAGCTTAATAATTCTCAAGAATTTTGAATGCAGATCTAAATGATAGATTTAAATAATTAGTTTCTAACAGTTATAATACTGTACAATTCAAGCTCTTAGATTTATTTTAAATCTAGGAAAAGTTTTTTAGATCTTCTTCCTAGTTAAGGGGTGTTCTGAATAAAACTGAAATGACTTTTTACATCTCTGCTATGAAATGACAGGTGTGACTGGTTAGTTTTTGTATTATATTATACGGAATGTTTTCAGTTCATCGATTTTTTAAAGAGACTTTAATAGACATTTAAGTATACAATAATAGAATCTTAAAAAATAAATCTAATACTTTATACATACATTCTCTTTTCATCATTTCTTCTTTTTCTAACGATTGGTATTCTTTCTTTTGCCTTTCGTGTCTATAAAAGCCTCCTACTAATAGTAGAAGTGCCATTGTCGCAGTAGCATAATTTGGCATCATCTTTAAAAAAATTTAATAAATAAGAGAATTTTTAAAGAAGTTAATATTATTACTAACTTAAAAGAGTATAAAAAGGCTCGTTAAATTAATAATCAGTTAAAATTTTGTGATTAAATGTAATTACTTACGTTTACCGCCTTTTCCGAACCAGATAGATTAAGTAACAATAATCATCTGCTCCAATGTTCACTTATATTTGAAGGAAGTTTGATATTGAATAATATCGAATCCACCAATAATAATTCGAGATTCCTGTGACGTTTTATCTGGTTCCATCGATGACCCAGTCTTGGGTGGAGATCCTGTACATCAACTATGTCGTTACCTATGAAATAACTAGTCTGTGATGCCCAAGGCAATCCAAGAAGCACTTGTAATTCACAGGAGCAATAACGCAAAGTTATGAAAGTCCGGTTGGAAAAGATGGATCGTCGGATTTCTTGAAGAAAAATGAGGAAGATCCTCTCACAAATATAATTATGTGTTCTATCTTTTTCTAAATTTATATTAATTTTACTTAAATATTATTTTAAGATAATGTGTGTGATATGAATACATAGTCTAATCTGTATCAAGTAGGCCTAGATATGTAGCAATGTAAAATAATTCAAACTTAAATTTATTTAAAAATTATAATTCAATTTTCAAAAATTTCACAAATTTTATACTACTTAACTCAATAACTCTTAATTTATTTTTAATTTTATTTCCATTTAATAGACCTAAATTAATTTCGTATTTTTTGTGTATAGTGCAATACTTTGTACTCTTTAAAAACTATAATAATATAAGAAATGAAAAATAAAATGTAAAAAAACTATATGTTAAATATAATAATAAATTATAAATTTATATTGAGAGAATTTGAAGAAATTAATTATAAAATAATAAAATAGAATGAGTATCATACCAGAAACATATTTAATTTGTTTAAAATATACGTAGGGCGTCTGAGATGGGGAAGCTGGGATATTTATCCCCAGAACCTAAGTAAACTTAGGTGCCCCATAGTAGTTTCTACCTCTATAAATTAGCTATTTTTACTAACAAAAAATAAAACATTTAAGATGAATATTTATTAATAAAGAAAACATTCTCCGCATTTCATTTGTTAAAATAAATAAATAAATAAATAAACGGCCCACCAAACAACAAAAGGGACCCTCTCTATCCCCAGGCTCCGTATCAAGCTTTCGATAACCCCAAATATATATAATTTAATAATTTATGTGTAACACTATGCGTTTTAATTATTATTACACATATTTTTAATAAATATTATGATGTTTAATTACCTTATTAGTTTTTAAATTTAGTATTTGTTATTTTGTTATTAAAGTTTGAGGATAAGAATGTATATATATAGACCTACTTATTTATTTTAAAACGAATTTAAAGAAGTATGATATATATACACATAAGAGAGATGAATTTTACAGATAGAATTACTTTCTGAACCAATTAAATAAATAAACTATAAATAATCTAAAGTGAGATGAAAGAACAGAACAATAGCTTTAACTCATCGCTGACACCGATGAGACAAATAGATATTATAAATACCTAAGTTTCAATAGAAAGCTTTAAGGACAAATTGAAAGGAGTATTAATAATAAAATTACATTGTTAAAAGAAAATTTTATACGTTTATTTCTTAATTGAGAAATTAAAGCCGTGTTCGTTTCGTCCAGAAACTATACACTTTAACGTCAATTTGACGTCATCTCTTCAGTTTTACAATGAACAAGTTTAAAAAATACGTCATATTGACGTAAAAGTGTACACTATCTTAACCAAATGAACAAGCCTTAAATGTTAAGGTTCTTAAAATAAACTTATTTATTAAATTTTTTTAAAAAAATTCGAATTCACTTATATATAATAATAATAATTCATAATATAGAAATCGACGAAACAAATGCCTAATTTGACATTTTTTAAAATAGAGAAAATAAACATAAACATCTTTAGAGCAGAAACTTTTCCAATTCACTTCCCTTGATCTGTGAATGACATTTGGGAAATAGCAGACGACGCTGATGACGTCATACTCTCCGCCATCTGTTGGTAAAAAAAGGAAAGTATTGATTTAATTATTAGAAAGTTATTTTATTCGAGTAATTTTTCTCGATAGATATACGTTAACGTTTTAAATTATTCGTTAATGTTTAAAAAATAGCATGCGATTTAATAGCCGTTGTTATATATTACATTACGTCAATTTTAGAGTTGACGAGAGTGTCCTTTGTTTTGAGAACGAGAGTATCACTTGACGGACAGATGTCGGTCGAGTGGTTGTTTCTGTTAGTTGCGACAAGTCTTTTTTCTTAATTAATATTAAAGTGAACAATTTTAATCTCTTCTGGTTTGTTAAGATCACGTAAGATATTATAGTATTGTTTCAAGAAGTGCATAGTGTGCGCAAAAAGCGTAAATGATGTCGAACCAACCCTCCCAACGTGTCCGTCGTACGTTAAGTCCATCAACAACAAAGCAAGGACCGATGAAAGCAACATTGCCAATAACATTGATGCAACAAAGTCATAGTCCTAATAAAAACACTTCTACTAAATCACCAGTATTACATTATCAAGTAGAAGGTTCGAGACTTAGAAACAGACTTTCTCCAGATTCAAGTTGTGGGTGTACTACTGTTAGTTACCATAAAGGTAATGTAGAATCAGTATCCAGACATCAATTCTGTCTTTTAAAAACATTAATGATTATTCAAATGAATGATCAAACTAACCTCACTTCAGTGTTATAAGTCGATACATTCTTCATTAAATTATTTCCTTGAATTTATCAATAGAAAACTTTCCTTGTTTTTTTTATTTTTGCAATAAAAATTTGTTTTAAAATGATCTACATTAATATAATATGGAATTTTTTTAATGCTTTCATATTTATTCATTGTTTTTAAATTTTATGAGATCAGAAAATCATTTAGAATATTCCATTAGTTGCTATAATTGCTTTTCTAAGAGTTGATTTTGATAAGTGAATATTTGTAAATATTTACTGAAATTCTCATGAAATAATTAGAGTATCTAATAATCAAATAAGGCTTGATGATTGTGAACTTAACAATTCATATTCAAATTTTATATATTTTTCTAAAACAAATCTGAAGAATGAAAATTTCACTCTGTTTATTTCTTATAGAAAAATCTTGAGATTTATTGAGTGATTAATTTGCTGAATTTTTTTTTAAATCATTCACTTATATTTTCATTCCTTTTCATATAAAAACAATTTTTGCCTGGCTACATAGGCCTTTTACATTTGCTATTAATCTTTGACACTGTTTATATAAAGAAAATGATTATTTATTTTTGTTTTCGTATTTACAAGCATTTTGTAATGTATACAGATGATGTAAATATACGGTATATTATACTTGTATACTATGATCATTTCTAAATATTAACTAGAACTGATTTTAATAAAAGACTAAATAATAATTAATTTTTATAATAAAATTTCACAGAGAATAATTTTCATGGAATTTAGTTGATTGCTTTGACAGAATATAATTTTTTTGCTTTGAGAAAAATGCTTTGCATTTTTCACAAAACAAGTTAATTTTGCAAGTTAGTTAATGAAATAAAAAGATTGTTTTTGTTACAAAATTATCATTATTATTATCAGCATGGAATAATAAAATAAGTGTTGTTAAAATAGTGATTCAAGACATATTTCAAAAAATTTTTAAATAATTGTTTTAGAAATGTTGAAATAAATTATTTTATACTTTTTAAAATATTTTGTTGATGTTTTAATTAATGAAATCTCAGTTAAATGAAGAATATCAACATTTAATAACTGTATTTATATGACTTATGAAATATATGTCTAATATATATTCATTTTTATAGATTGATATAATCTGATTTATTTAGTAAATTGAAATGATATTTTAAAGAAATTACATTACAGATCTTGTTGTAGAATAATAAAATTTATTTGGTGGTGATCATATATTAAAATTATATCAAGTCTAAATTATCATAATTTGATTAGAATTGTTTCTTTAATATTTATATATTGAAATTAAATCTTTTTCTTGAAATTTGTCAATTTCTGAATTCCTGATTTGATTATAATTAGTTTTATGAAAAAAAAGTGCTAAATAAGTTAAGTATTTTATTATGGGAATGGAATATACTTATGCATAGTATAACTTGTTAATTTATGTCTTAATTTAGTTGAAAATTTAATATTAAAAATAATAGACTTATTATTGATTGCTTAATGATTGGTGTTCACTCTGCATATTCTAATGCTTTATATCATAGCAATAAATAATTTTCTATGATAATTATGCATTTCATTTGCTACAGTAATAATCATTGGACATATTGCTAAGTGTAAATTTCTTAAATTCAAATCATAAATAGAATTAAAAATTTGATGTAGACTACTAAAGTGAGAAAATCTGTTTTAATTTAACATGTGATGACCTTCTGATTGAAAGTTAATATTTACTATTACTGTATTCAATCAAAAAGTATTTGCTTGCATTTTTTAAAATAATTATTAGATGATAGTGATTATATCATTTGTTTCAAAAATTACTTATATATATATATATATATA